AGTGGCGAGGTCCGAGCCGCCGCCCCCCGCCAAACTCTTCTTCCCCCCCTGCCTCAGGCTCCACTGATCTCCTTCCCCTTCCCTGGTCCGGCGGTGCGGTCCAAGTGGCTTCCGGCTGCTCAGGCCTCCCAATCTCCTCCTCCCCCCCCCGGCTTGGGCCCCGCTGATCTCCTTCCCCACCCCAGCGACGAGGCACCTTCCAGCCGCCGGCCCGCCAGTTCCCAGAGCGTTCTCTGCGCATGTGCAGGGAACACTCTTTTAATTTCCCCTCCCTCCTTGTCTCTCTGGATGGAGACATGCTCTCTGCCTGCAGTCCTCTCTGGGCACCACGAGGCAGACGGGCCTCTCGCCATCCACCTCCATCCTTTAGCCAGTAAGTCAGTCATCCATCAGCCTCTGCTCTTTCCTATCCAGAGTGTACTTCTCAAGTAAAGAGAGAAGCATTTCTCTTCTAAACGTGCAGTGTGGCTCTGTGCAGCTTTGTAAGCTGAGTAACCTGGTAAAGTGACACTCCTGCGTCTGCAGCTTTATTTAAGCACTCTGCTTACTAGTGGGTGACTGGACTAACCGCACCAGTCAACCTCAATACAGAGCACCATGCAGAGCAGCTGTGTGCCCGTGCAGTAGTTGGTCCATTCTCAAAGCTTGTGGCTGCTTTTGTCCCATCCAAGAAGGAAAACATCTTATTTACCCAAAGAGGGGGATTGCCCCCCCCCGCCCAATCCTGGCCACTCCGTGCATTAAATGGAATAACTTGCACAAAGCACAGAATTGCTCACAAGTTTGTGCTTGCACGCTTGGATGTCTTCTGGGACTGACACTGGATAATGCCGTTGGACGAGAGCCAGTGTGGTGTGGGGATTAGACTGCAATGTAAGAATCCCGGAGAGAGACCCAGGTTACAATCCCCACTTGGCCCTGGAAGGGGCTGGCGGACCCTGGGCCCGTTACTCTCCCTCAGTCCAGCCTGCCACGCAGGGGGTGGCTGTGAGGGTATGTCAGAGGAGAGGAGAGGAGAGGAGAGCAGTGTCAGCCACTCTGGAGCCACCCCTTGGGGAGAAAGGCAGGGTCTCAATGAAGTCCCAGACGCGGGCCCCTGTCTTCTTTTTGGACCGCCGTAGCCGGTGGCATCTGTGTGAGAAGGGATGATGAGAACTGATTACAAGATCAGCTGGCTTTGCCAGGGCGGGGAGTGGACCCCCACTCCTACCGTGCCCCCCAATGATGGGGAAGCCATGGGGGCTCCCTTTGAGCAGCCACTGCTGTGAACAGGCCCTTTAAACACACCGCCTGCTGATCGGAGCCCCTGGAGTCTTTCAGGCACTGCTGGATCCACGGGCAAAATCTTTCAGGCAACAGTGCCTAATTGGGGGGGGGGAGGTTGTGGGGAGCACACTCTCCTAATACTTGCAGTGGCCAGGCTCCTGGTACACATACTTGCAATGTCTGAAAAGGGCCACCACCTGAAGTCATCTTCCCCCCCCCGTCACCCATGCTCCTTTAAAACAGCCTGATGAAGAATTCTGGAGAACTCCCCAGCTTGCAGGAAGGTATTTATGTGGTTTTTGCTTCTGGATTTTGCTTTAACTTCAGGAGCTCTGTCCGTGTGTCTCATGGCATGTTTGATGCAGCCCTGAGATCGTAATAGATTGTTCCTTGAGGACCAACCCCCACCACACCAAAATCTTCACTGTCTAGCACTAAACAGGCCAGACCAGCACAGCAAACCCCCCCCCCCCCTCTCTCACTCACTCACACACAGTAGAATGGAGGGAGATAAGAGAACGGAGACCAGCCAGTCATTCATTCCCAGCTTCCTTTGCAAATGCCAAATCTCTGGAAAGTGGAGCTGTTGTGAGGGTGAACAGATCTGTGATGAGGGAACAGCCCTGCTCAAACTTGCCCGATGCAGCTTCCAATCTGACGCTTCCTTTTAGTGCTCCTGTTCACAGAGCTCCTTCAATCCACCACCTTTGGGGCCTGATTTAAACAGGATGCTGACAAGGCCTTTCCTGCAGGATTCTGCAGCACTGGCACGGCTTCTAGATTAAACTGGGACAATACCAATGCACAGCTGTTTGCACAGCTGGGGTGCCGCGCAGTCTCAATAAGACCCTGTGCCAGTGCGAAGGGAGGTCGATGTCTTGCCACCGAGACTTAACCAGTTTATCATCACTCCTGACAGGGAGGCACTGAAACAGTAATCAAGAGAGGCAGCCAGTGTCCGCTGGTATCCTGTTGGTCCTGCCCCATAAGCGGATGGGAGAGGGCAAAGAGGTTGCCTAGGTGAAGCTGCAGGGTGGAAGGCAGACTATTCCCTGGAGGCGTGCCCTGTGAGTCAGTCGCCCTCTTGAGCAGCAAAGGATGCTGACGCTGCAAGAAATACGCTGATTCGGCTTGTCGGTCTCCCCCTTGGCCACAACCCCAGTCCGTTCCCACTGGGGAGCTGAGACACAGCTGAGTCATCCACAGGTCACAGGTTCTTATCCAAACGTTCCCTGGCAAGAGTCACCTTGCACGGAGGCTGTGCCAGCCGTTGACAAGGCGCTGCATTGAGTCACAGAAGCCATTTGGAGCAGAGTTCGGTGTTTCCGGGTGGACCCTAAGCACTGCTCCCCGCTTTTCTCTCCAATGAGGACCCAAAGCAGCCCACAGCCCCATTCTCCCCTTCTCCATTTTACCCTTCCAAGTCTGTGAGGTTAGGAGGCCGGCCCAGGGTCACCCAGCAAGTCGCTGTGGCCCTGTGGGGATTTGAACTTGGGTCTCCCAGAGCCTAGTCCAGCTCTAACCACCACGCCATCCTGGCTCTGATAACATCACCAAGGGCACAGTGGAGCCTAAATCCATCTACCGCCTCTCTCATCCACGAGCTTCTAAAGCTACCAGGCCCCTAGTGGGGCAAGGGATCACCTTCGCCCAGCACCCATTTCCCACTGCCTCTCTGAACAGTTGGCAGGAGAAAAACAAACAA